GCAAAGTTGACGCAAATAATTTTGGCGCACCCTGTATAGCCATAGACTGGGAAGGTCTTGTGATTGGTTCATCAGAATTTTGATAATCATGTAGCATTGTTCAGGTTGTATAATTTTCACTTATACAATCAATACTTAGACTTTTTTTTATAAGTTTGCCTTAAATTCTCCAGGAATTCAATAATTCATAAACTTTTAATCCCAAGACAAACCAAACATGCTCGCATCAGACCATTTACGATTCAGAACTTTTCAAACACTTCAACGAAGAAGCAGCCTATTTCACCTGTTGAGAAGTATTCGCGACCGCCACATCTTGGCAGTTATCCTCGCAATCCAGCCCAGGTATGACTTATTCTGGTATCAAGGTTTTCATTAGTTCTTTATTTAATGGTTTTAAGGCTTACTATCCGGCTCTAAGCTCTGCCCCAATGCTTGAGGACTATATGGATCACGGCACGATGAAAATTGGCGAGAAAAGTACGCCACCACCTCCACTCGATCAACCAGCACGGCACAGTCCAACCGATGTCTAACCACTAACATCTCTTCGTGCTCCTTGTGCATTTTACGAGTTCCATCGCAGGTGTTGTCTCAAGCCTCAGGGGGTGTAACTTTACGTGTGCTCACCGCCATACTGTAAATAGACTCATGTTTACGCATATCATGAAAGCGTTGATCGTATCTAGCCTTTCTCGAAATGAGAGTCAGATCTGGTAGATCTCACTCGAATTCTGTGTACTTTCGTAGGCTCAATTGTCTTCTCTAACTTATTCTCGATAAATCTGTCCCATAATTTTATGAATACAATGCGGTTTTGGCAGAGATCATTTCATTCGTCATCAAGATATGCACTAGCACTTTAGAGTGACTGGCCCTGTTGCCAAGAAGATGAGTCGTTTGGCAAACAACTATAAATGTCAAGCAAACATTAGGGGTCGCAAGACTGCTTGTGAAAACGCGCATAGCCATATGTGGATGAGGATGCAAACTGTCGAGTAATTTATATACTACCAAACTTTTCCTGTCGAGTAAATCTATATATATAAAACTCAAAAATTGTCTGTGTGGAGGG